TACGCTAACCCTTTGTGGGTACTGAGGGTTAATATAACTAAATAAAATTATAAGATTTTTTAAATTATAATCGATACTAAGTTTACGATGCAAGATATGGACAATTTTTTGGTTAACAAATAATAAATTAGATTAAAAAAATAAAAAATTTTTGTATATAACGTATCTGGCGCAATAATATTACATACTAACCGCCTGCCGCATATATTTTGGGTAAACTAGTACAATATTTTCCGACTGGAGTCTTATAGTTTCCTCTTTCATCCAATTCGGTGTTCACTTCCGTGGCGATGTACTTCTCGGGTCCAAGGAAACCCATTGCGAGCAATACTAGATCGCATTTGTATACTTTCTCTGAATTTGGTACTTCTTCCATTTTCCATCGTCCATTCTCGTCTTTCCGCCACTCCACGGTCGCCGTCCTGATTCCACTCACGTGACCCTTTCCGTCATCCAAGAATTCCTTGCTCACTGTACTATATCTGCGCGGATCTCGGCCGAATTTCAGGGATACCTCCTCGTGACCATAATCGACCTTGAACACTCGCGGAAATTGAGGCCACGGGTTATCTTTGCCCCTCTGGACTGGTGGTTCGGGCAAGATTTCAAAGGTTGTAATTGACTTTGCACCCTGACGTAGTGAGGTTGCTATACAATCGCATCCAGTGTCCCCGCCTCCGATGATGATAACGTTCTTGCCTTTGGCTATTAGCCGCATATCTAAGGGCGTTGCGTTACCCATTTGTTTCTTTTGCCAGTGCTCTAGGAAGCTTACTGCAAAATGTATTCCCTCCAGCTGTCTACCTGGAATCGGCAAATCACGAGGCCATGTCGCGCCTGTACATAACATAATCGCGTCGTATTGTTCCTGAAGTTCCTGCAATAATATACATATGCGTGAGTATCGGAAAATTATTATATAAATAAACTTTGGAGATAAGTACAAATAGAAAATGAAGAAATCTGTTGGAATATATAAACATTATAAAAATGAAAAAAATAATTTGTCATATGACGAACATATATGTACAAATATAAGCAAAAATAAAACAACGCTAACTGGCTTCTTTATATAGCAAATCAAATATAAGCAAAAATATTATCAATTTTTTTTCTGCTACACGGAAAGAACAATTTTGCTAAAGTATCTAAAAATTTAGCTAGATACAAACCTGAAAATAATTTCGTTGGACTATCAAAATAATGCTGCAAAAAGTTTTGACTTTTAGCAACCAGCTTGAACGTTTTACATGATTATTTTGATGGTTTAACATTATTTTCTGTATCTAATTACATTTTTAGATACTTTAGCAAAATCGTTATTCCGATTTATATTATATTTATGATTGTACATATAATATTGTAAAAAATGGTTATCAAACGCGCTCATTTTTTTACCTGCATTGTAATGTTCTTTCCTACATCGACGTTCGTTCTAAAAATGATTCCTTCAGCGGCGAGCAGAGATACTCTTCTCTGTACAACCTGTTTAGACAACTTCATCGTCGGTATACCATATTGCAACAATCCACCGATTCTGTCATTTCTTTCAAATACAGTCACTGTATGACCCGCTTTATTCAATTGATGAGCGGCTGCCAATCCCGCAGGACCAGATCCGATTACAGCAACTAATCGTCCGGTTCTTCTTGTCGGTGGATGAGGTACGACCCAGCCTTGTTCGAACGCATGATCGATTATGGCGCACTCAATATTCTTGATTGTCACAGGTGGTTCGGAAATTCCTAGGACGCATGCACCCTCGCAAGGTGCGGGGCAGACTCTTCCAGTAAACTCTAGATTATTTAATTTCAAAGGGTTAGATACAGATCATCCGCATAGTTGACCAATAAAAAAATCAGTGAAAAGATGATATCTATTATTAGATTTAAAAAAATAACTGATTACTCTCATTAAATAATAATAAATGCAATAGAATGTAGAAATTATATACAAAAATAAAATTATTATATGCAAAAAATAAAATCAAGTTTGTTAATGGAAGGGGAACGAATTTATCACAAAATGCGGAAGGATTTGTATTTAGCAAAAATATTCTTATAAATTGACTCACCAGGGAAATTATTAGTTTGCAATAGTTGATTTAAGGCCTCCTTCCAGTTTTGATGGAATACAAGATCGTTCCACTTAGGAATGATGTTGCCCAATGGGCAACCATGACTGCTCTGACAAAATGGAACACCACACTCCATGCATCTTGCAGCTTGCACTCGCAGAGTCTTTTTGACACCCTGGAAGTTGTATATCTCATCCCAGTCATTTATACGCTTCTCAGTAGGTCTGTACATAATCTTTTGTCTTGAATACTTCATGAAACCCTTGATCTTGTCCAACTTCCGCTGTGCCATCTCCGCGTCCTCTATTGAATCTTCTATATCTTTGATCTTGCCGTTTGTCATTTGCGCATTACCGTTAATGACGTTGGGAGTTTGTTGCTTTTCCTCTTCCAGCTTGAGGGCTCGCTGATACTCGTAAGGGAAGACCTTGACGAATCTTGTGGTCGGTTCTGGCCACGTGGCTAGCAAGTCTTGTGCGATCAGTGAGCCGGTCTTTTCGATAAATTCCTCCAATAGTTTTTTCACATAGGCGATTTCTTCTGGTTTGTTGAGCGGTAGTAACTCCACCATTTCGGGATTGCACTTACTCTTGAAAGAACCATCGACATCCAAAACATACGCGATTCCACCGGACATTCCAGCCGCGAAATTTCTACCGGTAAGACCCAAAATCAAAGCGCAACCGCCGGTCATATACTCGCAACCGTGATCACCCACACCCTCCACTACGACAATCGCTCCACTATTACGTACACTGAATCTCTCAGCAGCGATACCACGGAAATAGGCCTTTCCGGAAGTAGCTCCGTAAAGACAAACATTCCCGACGATTACATTCGCCTCCGAGTTGAATTCTGAATCCTTCGGCGGGTATATGACGATTTCACCTCCGCAAAGACCCTACAAATAGAATTATTTATTTCTTCTATGCAAAAGAGCAAGCTATTAAAAATAGTTAAAGTTTTAATATTTTGATGTTTAACATGATAAAATACAAAGTTGAATAAATTAATACAAAATTATGTATAAATTATTTGTGTTGCAAATTCAAAAGTTTAAGGACGTAGGTATATGGGTCACTTCGTTGCGCCATAGAAAAATACACCGATCAGTCGAGGTCACTTTGTGACGCGAGAGAGAAACGTTTTGTTTAGGTTTCTTGTGAACAGATCGTTTTGTGCCATCACAAAGTAGTTTCGTATGAATGGGTCGGCGTCTTTTTCTGTAGCCTAATGGCTAGTGTGTCCGCACTCTAAGAAACTCGTACTTACTTTGCCGACATAATCGTTAGCATCGCCTTCGAGAGTAACATGAATACCCTTTGTCATAAAAGCGCAGAAACTTTGACCCGCAGAGCCTTTCATCTTGATATTAATGCTATGCTCGGGCAATCCAGCTTCTCCAAATCGTCTACAAAATAATTGTAAGATAAATAAAATAAAAGCTAAAATTATTGATAAAAATGATGTATCAGTTTTGCTTTATCGATTTTTTTCTACGTGCAAAAGAATTTTTTTAAATATTGGCGTAACTTACTTAGCTATATGATAACTCAGTGTCGAACCGAATGCCCTACATTCGTTGTTGATGTTCATTTCGATGTCGACTCGATTGTGTACCCCGTTCAAAACAGGCTCGGCTAGTTCAATTAGTTTATTGTCAAGTCTATTCTCCAGCTGGAAATCTTGTTTTACGGTGCCGCCTTTGATATTCACGCCAGGTCGTAAGTCCAGTGCGCTTCGCAGAACGTTGCTAAGATTCAGAGTCTTGGCTTTCTCAACAGAGATGTCATCACGTACTTTAAGGAGATCTGTACGTCCAATTAGATCCTGGAATTTGCGGATGCCCAAATTCGCCATGTGCGAACGTACCTGTAGAAACAAGGAAATTAATAATAATAATTTAATATGTACGCTAAAATAATACTTCATATTTATAAAAATTTAATTGTATTATATTTAATTTATATTATTTATTATATTTATATTAAGGTTGCTCAATTTTAACACAAAAATCTAATTATTTAATACTCTACTGTTAATATTCTGGTTTAATTATCATTTTGGGAATAAAATACATTTAAAAGAATAATGAAAGAACATGAAAATAATAGTAAAAATGAGCAAGATATAAATAGAGAAACCAAGCTAAAAAATATTAGGATAAATGAAAGACGAATAACAACGCCTAAATCATTCGTACCTCTTCAGCCAATGCGAAGAAGAAATTAATCACATGCTCTGGCTTGCCCTCGAATTTCTTTCGCAATATCGGATCTTGCGTGGCGATGCCCACTGGGCAAGTGTTCAAGTGGCATTTTCTCATCATTGTGCAGCCCATTGCGATCAATGGAGCGGTGCTGAAACCGAATTCGTCCGCACCAAGCAGCGCAGCCACTATGATGTCGAAACCTGTACGCAGCTGGCCGTCCGCTTGCACAATCATGCGCGACCTCAGATTGTTTAGAGTCAGCACCTGATGCGTCTCGGCAATGCCTAATTCCCAGGGCAAACCGGCAGACTTGATGCCAGTCCAGCTGCTGGCGCCAGTGCCGCCGTCGTGGCCAGATATCACCACGTGTTCGGCCTTACCCTTGGCGACGCCAGCGGCGACGACACCCACTCCGACCTCAGATACGAGTTTGACGGAAATACGGGCGTTTGGATTGGCGCATTTAAGATCATAAATTAATTCGGCCAAGTCTTCGATCGAATAGATGTCATGATGTGGTGGCGGTGAGATCAAACCGACTCCGGGTACCGAATGCCTAGTAGCAGCAATCTCTGCGGTGACTTTATAACCGGGAAGCTCGCCGCCCTCACCGGGTTTCGCGCCCTGTGCCATCTTGATCTGCAAGTCATCTGCATTTGCCAGGTAACTGGCAGTAACGCCAAAGCGTCCACTTGCTACCTGCTTGATAGACGAACGCTTGCTAAACTCCGGGTCTTGGTTTAGATACCTGTTGGAGAAGGATAAACAATTAGTTATAAATTTAATCAATATTATGTTCACATATTAATTAATCGCAATAATGATAGAGTCTTCAAAATCGTTAGAAGAGATCAAGACATGGAAATTTTTAGATTATTAAATTCCTCATCTTATTTTTTTCTTTATTATACCTGTCTGCGTTTTCACCACCTTCACCGGTGTTCGACTTGCCACCGATGCGATTCATAGCGATTGCCAGAGTAGTATGAGATTCCATGGAGATGCTACCAAAACTCATCGCGCCGGTCGCGAAGCGTTTCACAATTTGTGATGCGGATTCCACGTCCGTAATAGGAATCGGATCGCGCGACTTTTTCAGTTGAAGTTGGCCACGCAAAGTGCAAGCTTTTACTACTTCCATCGTGGTTTTGCGATAATTTTCATAAGCAGAGTTATTTTTGGAGACAACATATTCCTGATGAAAGAAAAATGATTGTAAAAGAAAAATATAGTATAAGATGATACGATTTTGAACATCGTATAATTCGGAACGAAATAAGGTTTGAATCCAATTTCAAGGTTCAAGTTTGGTAATCCTGATCTCATTGTGTGAAGAATATTGAACGGTACCAGGACAAAAGCAAACTTGAACCTTGAAAATTGAATTCGAATCTTATTTCATTCACAATTATACCATTTGAAATTATATTACCTCATCCTATTTTACACATTTATATATTTTTCAGAATAAGGATTTTGTGCATAATTATATTTTTTGTAGTAGATGTAAATTGTCGATATTTAATTTTTAGAATACTATGTCTTTGTTACCTGTAAACTAGCGATGCTAGCAGGATCATTAATATGTTTCTCGCCACCGGATCGCCAATGATAAATTCCTGGATTGCGAATGACCAGCAAATCCATCGGTTTGTCCCAGTACGTCATTTGATGTCGCTGGAACGCTTCTTTGCCCAAAATATCAAACGTCACACCACCAATACGAGAATGAGTACCCTAAAAAATTCAAGTTGGTTTGCAATTAACAAAAATATTATTTTTACTATGTAATGTAATAAATTAAATTTTTAATTGACAAAAAGATGCATCATTCATGAATTCAAATCATTAAATGATCATTAATTGGATCCTATTTTAATCATATGCATCTGAAGAACCAAACGATATTACTTGAAAAAAATTACTTATTTTGTAATTACAAATATTTTTTTAAATTAAAAAATTTGATAAATATATATATTATTTATTTACTAAAAACTATTTTTAATAATAAGGTATATGAATAAATAAATATATATATTTTTTAAAAAACTTATATATTAGGGACTGTGAAAAAAAAATACCTTGAAGCATTTATCGATGACTTCGTCAGCCAATCCAACTGCTTCGAATATCTGCGCTCCTTTGTAAGATTGCAAAGTTGAGATTCCCATCTTGGCCATCACTTTCGCGATTCCTCGTTCCATAGCATCTGCGTAATTCTGCGGAATTTAACCGATTAATCATTAGACAATTTTTATATATATCTATTTTTCATATTCATACAAACACTTTTTTTATCATTAACGTTTCTAAATAATAATTTTGCGAGGCTTACCTTATAAATAATATCGTCGGTAAAGGTTTCATCGAAAACGTGATCTGCTCTTAGGTTTTTTGCCATCTCAAATACCAAGTAAGGACATATGGCATCTGCTCCATAACCAAGTAACACGCAAATATGATGCACCTCTCGAGCCTCGGCAGTTTCCAATATGAGACCGACTTTCATTCGCTGTCTCTCTTCGATCAAATGATGATGAACACCACCTAACGCCAATAAGCTACTTACCGGAATCCTAAACTCAACAAACAAATTCTAGTTTCATTTCTTTCAAGATCAGTTTAGAATGTATTAATATTTTTATTCACAGATTGGATTTACCTTGTTGGACCACCTCGTCGATCAGATAACACGAGCAATTGATAACCATCCCTAGCAGCCGCATTAGCCTCATTATTAACGCGATCCAGCGTTTTCAACAAACCACCAGGCCCATCTTCAAGAGGGTAAGTGATATCGATCACTTTTGTTCTCCAATTGCGATGGGTCGTGTGCTTGAGAACCTCAAGATCACTTAAAGACAATATCGGTTGAGGCAAGAATAGACGATGTACTTGCAGTTCGTTCGGCTCTAGAATGTTACTCTCCGGCCCGATTGGGCAGAGCATCGACATTACGATCTTTTCACGGAATGGATCGATCGGTGGATTCGTTACCTAGATAGAAATTATAATTTGAAGTTGCGTTAACACATACGTAAAATATGTTGGATTGTATTTAGTTGCTAAATTAATTTTTATAATTTTTTCCGTTTCTCAAGTTAATGATAGTCAAATTTTTGCGTACTTGCGCGAATAATTGCTTGAAGTATTCGTATAATAACGGTTGAAATTCCGATAAACACGCTAGGGGAGCGTCGTTACCCATAGATCCTAACGCTTCTTTCCTGAAAGAAAATTTTTATTTTTCGTTAATATTTATTAATAAAAATATCATTATTTACGAAAAAGTTATAATGTATTATAATTTTTTCGTATTAATTTAATATTAAGATAATAGTATTATACATATACAATAAAATAATCGAGAGAAATCTCGACTCTATTAAAGGGAAAAAGATATTTTGAACAATATCGAAAATAATGTCGGAGTATATCGTTTAATGATGATATATCAAATTTATAATAATTCTATGAACAATTTTTTGAACTTATAAAAATTTTTAATATTTATATACTTATTTATTATTCTTCATGAAATATTAGACATACTGTAATTAGAAATACGGTATTGATAGGAAAAAAATTATTGGTATACATACTTAGTTTGCACCATAGGTAGAAGTAGTAAATTGATAGTCTCCAGAGTATAACCATAAAGAGAGAGCCGTTTGTCGCCGCTCCAAACTTTATTCACGGCCGAAACCTCGTTTATGCCGTTAATAGCGTTCTTTTTTTCGACAGATAGACTATTTTCGATTATGTCCCCTGTATTGCTATTGTAAACATGTGCGGCACGCAGTTCATCCATAGTGATCTGCGTTCAAAAAAGCATCACCAACTACTAGATACCAAAATTATGAGCGTCGCAAGAATGAAGTTAAAGAGTAGAATTGGTACTGCAATTGAATTGCTTTCAGAATTTCTATGATCGAGCACAAGCAAATACCAAACCGAGAGTTCTATTAGCAATCGAATAATTAATAAATTAGATAATAATAAAAATAGGAAGAGATAAAGTTAACAGGTGCAGTGATTTTCCATGCAAAATAGAATTATCTGAGATTTTTTCAGAGACATTTCTACTCACACACACATTTATAATATTTCGCTACTATATTACTACCTACTATACACATTAATTTGTATTTCTTTATTATATTGCTACCTCCAACTGTATATCGTACTGGAAGAAATAAACATACTTATAACGATATGAGAACGACTCACCCTCTGTATATATGATGATAACAGCATGTACAGCAGTGCAAAAAAGTTAATTTTGCATTAGATATTTTTCTTGTGATGATTTCTATGTCAATTTTTGTGCGATTATGTTATTACAATTTTCATCAAAACCAACGAAATTACTGAGTTAAATATTTTACGAAGAACATTGACACTTAATGACTTTAGAATGTATTAGTTAATTAGGTGTGTTAATCAATAACAAAGAGAAAAGCGAAGAGTTATTTAATTTTCGAGCTATAGGCTACAGCCATGATATGTGATATTTTTCATGCAAGCACGTTAATTTTAATATAACTTATGTATAAAACATAAATAAACTATGTACAGAGTGCTTCATAATTGGTACCTTCACTATAATAGAAAAGGTCGTGAGAAAAAAACCAAATTATAAAAAACTTCTTGACTTTTATCTCGGACAATCGTCTTTTTAAATAGAATTTAAATAGGATTTAAAATTCGATCTTATTTTCAAAGTAAAATTTAATCACGACAATATAACAATTGCTCGTGAATTGTTCTCGATTGACGAAAAGCACATTTAGCTACCTGTTCCTTGAGCCACTTGGAATGAGGCCTTCTTCGAGCGATTTGTAACTTCAGTTCGACATCCTGTATGATCCTCTTCTCTTCGGTATCAACGAGAAGCATCCGGCCGGGCTTCAAGCGACTCTGCAAATAAAAGAGTACACCAATAATCGCCATAGAACGGGTTCGACACGTCGATGATCGACATTCATATGACAGCACTGGATGACGGTCCTACAGCTCTATACAAACCTAGTCCCTAGATGACAAATTATACATCATACATGATACATGATTAAAAAATAAATAAAATACGATATATGTGATTAGCTATTATACATGTATGCTAACATACAGCGAATAGGTATTGCGGATCGATTGATGACAATCTGCCCTTACCGACTCTTTGGGTATCGCTATCGATTTACCTTCAATCCTCGAATGTGACATTTCTGCAGCTTTATCAGAGGAATGAAAGAAAATGCACGCATAAAATATACATTTGAGGATTACCGAATCCTGGATGAAGTCAGTGATGATCGTCTCAATGGTTGGTATTGGTGATCATCGGCCAGTGTAAAGGCAGAGTGCCAGTACATTACATTGTTTTGGCAATATTTGAGATCTATAGAATTCGCACAAAATCATTCGACGAGCGTAAATTGCTTTATTCTTGTCCGCACGGTAGAACTCTGTTTATTGGACTATTATACACAAGCATCTATTTCGATGCGCTCGATTAGACGTAAGTCCTACTTATGAAGACGATACGCTTGTTGCTTCCGACAGAGATGCCAAAATGTAATGAGTAATGTATTTGTTAGACATAGATAAAATATGGTGAGAAAAAAAGTGAGTTGTGTAGTAAACAAATCGCATGATGGTGCTTGCATCCCAGAACGAAGACGCCCACAGATTTAAGAACCTGGCCGAGGACGCAACATACGTAACCAAGGACGTACATGATCAACGATTTGTATAACCAAAGACCTCTGGAACTTAAAATTTGCGTAAGCATGCAATTATCAAGCCATAAATCTGCAAAAACCATTATCCCGTGGAATCAACAAGCTATGTTTTCTCCCAATGCTGTCCTTAGAATTTTATTGTTTTCGAAATTTCACTTTCTTGATTTTCTAATAAAGAGAGTTCTGCCGTATCGCCACCTCCTCTTCCTCCTCTTCTAGTAAGAAATCAGCAGGAGGCCAACAAAGCGAGTTTTGTGACATAATAATAATTAGTCGACGAGACAAATGTGAACCGTCGAGAATGATGGCGAGAAGACGCGTTATCGAAGCTAGATATGCATTTGAAAGTTTCGTTGACACGAGAGTCGCTCTGTTAGAGAGTATTTATGAAAATTGTTTAAAAGCTCACTCATGACGATCAATATTACCGGCCATTGAACAATGCCGACGAAAGTTGCTCTCGGACAACAAAACTTTCAAGTGACATTAAAAAAAGGCGGCTTATCGCGCAATTAAACGCGCAAGCATTGTTTTTATACAATTGTAATGCGAACAGGCTCTTTCGTCGCTTCCGTAGAGAGATTGTTGGCCAGAGAAAAAAGGGTCCAAACTTCCCTGGGCAGACGCGAGGGTCTCCTTGGTTGCTCTTCCACTAGCTGAAATTGCTGTATTTCGGGGAGAAATGTAGAGAATAGGCGCGGAGATGAGAGAAAGAGGGCTGGGGGAAAAAGATTGAGCATACGGGGGTTGATTCGTCGGTAAATCATAAATCACTGCGAGCTAGCTGTCTCCGCCTCAGACAGAGTGAGAGACACTCCTGTGGGACCGGCTGGTGCTTGGGATGCGCATATTTCCTTCGTTTACCTTCAGGACTACATTGCTGGGCGGAGTATCATAGACGCCCACTTCGGACGCCATCACCATCATGTTATCCTTAGTGACGTAGAAGCGCGACGGGCGCAGGCCGTTTCTGCCAAACAAAAATTCAAAAAGGTCTTTTGTATTTCACACCACCTCTGTGTCTCGCGCTAGGTATCAGCTGAGTGAACTACATTGCTGTTCGTTCGTTCGCTTGCCTGCCTTCCTGCTGGCTTACTCGCGTTATACTCTCTCTTTCGCTCTCTATATCATCTTTCTTTCTCTCGCTCTCTCAGTCTCTTGGTCTAGGCCCTATTTACCTGCGTTAGCAGCACGTTGGGACAACGATGGACACTTAGTAAATCGTAAACATCGATTCTCACTTCGGCTGTACAGAGTAAGGCAGGGCAAAGGGAAGTCGCGCGAAATTTTTCTGACGTATTTTCTTTTCTTTTCTATTTATTTGTTTCTATGCTCTTTTGCGTGACATACCATCTTTTTTACTTCAAGTGATTACTTTCAATCTAAGTAATTATTCTTCATATTTTTATTTTATAATTAAAAGTAATTTCATGTTTTGCAAGATACTATAAGTTAACTATGAGAGAGTATATTTAAAAAACAACTTAAATAGCAATTACTTCATTATTAAAATATTGATAAACTTTGGAATAAAATAAAAAAAAAAACAATATTATTAAAACAGAAATTTGTTTAATTGCTAAGTATAATAAGAAAACTAAAATGTTTTAGAAAACAATTATTTAAAATTTTCGTAAATAAATAACGATGGTAATTAATTTTAAAATTTTGAAATTTCTATTTATAATGTTACTTTCAATTCTAAAATATCCTAGAACAATCAATTAATGGACACTGTTACATTAATTTTTTCCTTTACGATCGTTGCTTGTTAAGGTAAACCTTTCTATTCTTATCTAAAAATAAAATAGCGTCTCGGTTAAACTAATAACTTTTCTAACGTAATTTTTGTAAAAATATCCTTATAAAGAAATTTCTGTTTTCTCTAAAGAATATTTTTATCGTACGTTTTATTCCGCGTAATCTTTATAGTAGAAAAAAAAACTGGATTTATGGGATGAAGGGTGTTTTTATTTGTCCCTCATTCGATTGCACGACTTCCCTTTGCCTTAGAAATCCATGTTTACCTGTACCCGAGTATATCTCTACGTGTGCACCGTTCTCATGTATTTCGTGAGCACCGTTAATCCTGCTGAATGAGTCTTGCAAAGCGTAGGCAATACGCCCACGTAGCCTAGCATTCTTTCTTCGCGGCTCCCCTAACAAACGAGACCGCAAAGTCCTTTCGTTCGGCTCATTTCTTTTTCAATAGGATTCTTTCAACACTTTGAATTTTACTTCAATTCAATTCTTTGCGCTTTTTTCACTGTATTTATTTTGGAGCTGGACTTCGAAAAGTTTCCAATGACAGACAACAAAGAAGTATTTTTATATCAAATTACATTAATAAAATTGCTAAATAAGATAATAGTGACAGAAAATTAAAAAGTAAGAAAATACTTGCTGCATTACAACAGGAATATTGCAAAGAATTAATTAGATCGCGTGATTTTAATTTTTAATTAATATTTACTCTTAGCTGTTAACGCGGATTTCAATTTCATCGTTGTGAAACATTTTATTATTTTTTTGCTCTTATTTTTTTGCTCAAATTAAGTAATAAATATTTCAAATTTTATGTTTTTTTTCTGTTATATGTCTGTGAAATACTTACAATGATGTTTGCAATTCTTCTTGCGATATTAATTCGCTATTGTATGGAATTATTTCAGTGCAAAGAATTCACTTGCTTACCTGTACAGCTTCCAGTAAATTTATGTGAATTCTTTCTAATGATTTTCGGGAACTTTATACGATAGCGAATTAACAAATATTTATCTTTCGCATTTTGTGGACACGTCGACAGTTAAGAGTTTAATTTATCGCCGCATTTATTTAGTTTTAACAATTTGATATCTCTTAGTTTGTACATTTTAGAAGTTTTTTAGCTAATATGTAAGCTAATGTATATACTTTTTACGTCGTTAATGTACAAACAATGTTTGGTAACATTTTCTCTTCACCATTCTTAAAAAAATGCGGCATGTGTAACATCAGCGCGACTGGACTCAAAGTGTTGAAAGTCAGTGGAACCAAAGATCCAGAAATCCGCACAACTGCGAATCATTTTTGATCCGAGAAGTTGCAGACTCATGGATCTATGGATACAAAATGTGGCAAAGATTACCAGACAGCACGAACGAGGGAAGTGGAGCCTACGTAAAAACGTGTAATAAACAAGACGTAATAAAGGATAAAAAATTTCTACCTGTCCAAAATAGCACCGACATAGCGACCGTCGGTGAAGGTCAGAAGAGCCGGACCGTCCCAGGGTTCCATGGCACACGCCGCCCAATGGTAGAAGTCCCGCTTTTCAGTAGCCATCGTTAAGTCATTCTGCCAAGCCTCTGGTACCATTGTCATGACAGCCTGGATTCAGTAACGATGTTTCAAGTGTTTGTTCGAAGACCGAGATTCTTGAAATCAAGAAACTGCGAAACTAAAGGACCGTAATGCGCGCAGCAATTCAGAGAATTGATGGAATGAAGACCATTTAGCCATGTAAATTCTGTGTATTCAAAGATCATCTCAGACCTTTAAAAGTAGAAGTAAAGATTTTTTGTTTTTCGATCAAAATTGAAGTACTTAGCAAAAGTAGAAGAAGGTATCTCTAGTAAGTAAAAAAAAGTCCTTTAAAACAAAGAATCTACGAAATCAAAGACTAAGAATTGTTATGAAAAATTTTATAGAGATTAAAAAAAAATTCTTAGAATTTGTTTAAATCTGTGAAACCGATAATTTCTGGAAATAACTATCTTCGAGAACGATTTATAGAAATGTGGAATCAATTTTCCGTAAGATCGAGGATTTACAGCAATATACTTTATATTTCAATATTAGACGACGTTTTTCATATATTTCATAACGTAAGTTTACCTCGGGCAAAGAGCGTTGTCCCGCCATCACCAAGAACTCGAGCACACAATCCGCTGATCCAGAGTCAGAGAGATTCGGTTCTACGACTGGATAGAGCAGCTTCAGTTGATCGCCGTATATTTGACTGCTCATCACACCTTCTCGCGCCTTCATAAAGTTCACATTGCCGCGCAGGGTATTAATTTCGCCGTTGTGAGCAAGCAAGCTATGGACAAACGTCGCACGTTATATCAGTGTTTGCTGTTTGCGGTTTTGAAACGGAAACCTGCGAAAACTACGATTACATTACGATAAAGTTATTTATCGCTGTAATACAAGACTACCGAATTGTGAAAACAGGATTGTTTTACAGTGTTACCTATAAAATAAACACGAATTATGGATCTTTGGTATACCGAAAAGGAAATGTGCAAAAAAAAACAAGATAAAGAGAGGAATTATAAGTAGTCGATAATTAATATGGTAACCTTGTTCGATAAGATTTTAAAATGGAGTTTTTATCTTTTAGTTATTTATAGCATATTGTATGTATGTTTTTTTCCTAGTTTCACAATGATTGTAAAAAGAGATTGGAAAAAAATTTTAACACTTCCATTCGTATTTTTAAAGTCTATTTTATCGATTTTTTTTTGTTTCTTTTGATTAAAAAAAGTAATAGCAGTTTCATGTATTTTTTAAGCAATAACATTAAAGATTATAACCATATGACTGACGATAAAAAGTTAGTTAAAATTCTTCACAGAAATTTTGTATTTATATTATAAAAAACAACGAAATTAAAAAACACAAATATTTTTCCTCGTTTCGAATTCACTATTAAAAGAGATGAATTAGTTTTTCAGAGAAGTGGTCATGGAGAAATGATCATTTATAGTATGTGTTATTTTTTTTCACCATATTTTTATATTTCATATTTATAGGATTCTGATGTAGTATCTTACCGTAAAGGATGCGCTCTTTCCCAACTAGGAAAAGTGTTTGTGGAGAACCGTGTGTGTACCAGTGCCAGATAGGTTTCGAATTTCGGAGACTGATATAAAAGAAAAAAAACTTATACAATATTACGTTATTGTTCTCGTTACGACATATGTAATACATTTTATGTAAGACTTCCAGACAACAACGACACTTTTCTGAGGAAAAAGAAACCAGGACAGAAATAATTTGGACTCACCTTCAAGTCCGTGAAATAAAGCCATAACTGATCAGCGGTGAGCTGACCTTTGTAAACGACCGTTTTCAACGACAACGAGCAAATGTAGTATCGCAATTCCGGTCGCGGAATTGAATGCGATGATCGCTTCCTCAGCACGAAAATCTGACAAACAGAACGCGATAAAAATGTAAGAAACGTGTAATTTACGATTGATCAAACAAAGGATTTGTGTGCGTATTAACCTTGAAAATCGTGGTTATCTACGACAAATCCGAGCACTAACTTTATAAACTAGCAAAGTTGTTTAGTGCCAAGTTGTTTAATTCGGAGTACGATATAGCGCCTAATTTTATAGATTCATTAATAATTAATTGTTGGGGAATCTTTCGAGAGAAGGTCTGAAGACAACGGAAATATTAATTACCAATCAACAGATATTTTCATAATAATAGTAGAAAATAAATTATTTTTTAATGTTAGTTATAGCATAAAGTTAAAATTTAAATATACGACGAAACACTGACCAGAATTAATTGACTTAAGACATAACTCGACTTTAAAGATTAGATAAATTACTTATTAAATAAACTACTTACCTGTCGCTTAAGTGTTTCCGCATCTTGATCGCCAGTAACGAATACTTGACGCATGTACGGTTCGCATTTCTTCGCCACTTGGCCAATCTGGGAGCTATCGGTGGGAACATTACGCCAACACAGCACCTACGAATTACACGATCTCGAGATTGTACGAGGTACTTAATACACGCCAAACAATGCGATAATTTAATCATTGAAACCGATCGATAAATAATAATACCAATATATCGTACTTTTAAATTGCACTCCTTAGCTAACTTCTCAAATGCGGCTTCTGCTTCTTTATGAGTCTTCTTGTCAAGGAACAAGATACCGGTTGCGTATTGTCCGAACTCGGGCAGTTCGATCTTTTGTTGTTGGCTATAATGTATATGAAAAGTAACTTGAACTCAACTAATTCATCACGTCTGAACTATCAAAATCTTATTAAATTAATAAATTGTAGTTTCTAGATTTATTGAAACTAGTACAAGGATTTGTAGATTGGAGAAACTTAATGTCTGTAGATTTATTCGAGATCTGAGTAACAAAACAGAGATTTATGACGAAAGATTTATAGAACTGTGCCAAGGATTTGTGAAATTAAAAGTCTGCAAAATAATGAATAGGCTATGGATATTCGTAGTCAGTTTTTATTTCAAGACCGCTTTAAGTAATGTTTCGAGATGCTAATATGATTATGCGATTGGTTTATGATTTTTTAAGACTGTATTTAAAACGATCTTATATATATAAGAATTGACTATAAATACCTGCTACAGATATAAATGTCTAATTGTAAGAAGTAATGAATATGTGATATCTAAAAGTTCTACAAGAATTGTGTTTTGTAGATTTAAGAGAGTTTCAACGAGAATGTTAATTTAGAGATGAGATACTTGAAATGAAGGATTAATATTATGTGAACGATTTATAGATCATAGAAATTGTATAATTGTCCTTGCAAGTGAAATCAATTATTTATAAAATATTTTCAACCTTGAACATTTGATATAAAAATCTTGAATAAAAAATGCAAAGATATCTAAATTAACACTAATACAATGGCAAAAATTGGGACAAGATGTGACCCTCTTTCCGACAGCATTACGATCTAGATAATGAAAATTCAGAACTGAAATTAAACTTTTAGTTCAGTCAGATAGTATGTAGCGCCAAATGTGACAGGAACATTTGGCTTGGGCGATTAAATCGGATATCTCTCGCGAGTACATCAGAAGTTATAAAGGTTTCAGAAACGAGATTCGATCTCGCCGACAAATAAGATACTTATAGCATGTCGCTGGGAGTTCTCTTACCGAATTTCATTGGCATAATAATCGTGTGGTATTGCGCAAAGTACACCAGCACCGTCACCAGTATCATTATCACAGGCGCATGCCCCCCTATGATTCATTCGCGCCGACAATATCTGAGCATCTCGAACGATCTGAAATTCGCAGATAACCGACCATAAATATGAGAAAATCAGTCCAATATCCTTATCGTCGTGCAATGAAAAAAATGTCGCATAATTGTATTGATATATCCATATATTATCAACGAGTTCATCTATAAAGTGGAGGTCTCTTATTTCTTTCTCAGATTATAGATATTCCATTAATAAACATTTTCATTTTATCTAATCGTTATTCTGCATATTTGAAGCGGCGTCTATCTTTAAAGTTATGCGCAATTTTAATGTTTAGGTATCTTAATTCATATATTATATAAGCTTTGAGTTATTTTTTGCAACTTTAAAATAGATACATAATTATTCTAAACTTTTTGTTATCAACAATTCTGAATTTTTTCGTTTGAATTTATTAACTATATATATTACTGTGATTTTCCGCATTTAGCTGTTTATCTTTATTATACTTTTTTGCCCTATGCTTTATGCGGCGCAACGCAATATACGGACGTACACCTATAATAGATTACAAAGATCAAACGCGCGACACTCGAGAGACGTGGGTCGTTCTTTGAACTTTATACGTAAAAGACAGACGAAGCTTAAAATTGACTCACCTTGTGCGACCTCTTCCCGTCAATGGCGACGATAAAACCAACGCCGCAAGCTTCTCGTTCGAGGGTAGGGTCATACAGACCTTGCTTCGGAGGCAAGGTCCACGACTCGGAACTCATAATCTTAATCTGAAAAATCAGAAGAGAAAACTTCAACACGTCATTCCGATCGATAATAACTCTTAATTGCTTCGACTCTTTTCTCTATTTTTCTCTTATGTAAACAATTTAAGTAGATGTCAATGTTTTCTTGACCTTAGAACACGGTTTGCAAAAAGTAATAATTTATCCCGGAGAAAAACATTAATGGCAATAATAATTTATACTATTTCATTGTAAATTCATTTTTGCGTAATAAATAGTTCGTCTACCAATTGTGTCATTGTCGTAAACTTATCTTTTAAACGCTTGTGAGTCACGTGTATTATCCTATTAAATCGTTTAATTTTTTTTTTAAAGCATGCATTACGTGTTAATCATAGTGTGCATTCATAAAAATGCGCGCTTTAACTATATAAAAAAGCAATATAAAAAAATTAATATGAGAATATTTTCCAATAAACATTAAATAGGAACAATGTTCAAGAGTAGGTACATTTGACCTTAATGTTTTAAATGAGAACAATAAAATTTTCCACTTTACTGTTCCCCTTTACAGATTCTCAACTTCACAATTATCATATAATACGCTAGTTACGCTAGTATATTTGATCGTCGGATAGATAAACGCGTTCATAGCTGCGCATTTAGGGATAGAGAACGACGTGGCGGGACGGGGGAGTCGAGATATCGCAGAATGATTCGCAGGATATCGCAGTGTCGATATTGCATAAAAGCGTACTCATTAAGCGTAACAGACATGCGACATCGCCGTCATCGTCGTCGCCGTCGCGCCGTGTCGTTGTAACGGCAGCGAATCGCAATGATGATCGGTGTGTAAACAAAACGAAGAAAATGCGTCAAAGAGATCGATGCTGCGACGCGTTCACGTGGCCGATCGATGTACCGACTACTGAGTACGCGACAGGGGTGGCCAATTGTTCGACAATCTTTGCTTTTTATTCGTGTCCCTTTCCTAAGAAACGCGCAAAAGTCAACAAAAAAACCGAAATGATTTTATTTTAATTCTTAACATCAATAAACAGTTAAATTTTCAACAAAAAAATCATCAATTTGATTTTCATGACGTCAAAATAAAGTCATTTTGATTTTTTTTTTGTGATTTAGTGTGTTCCCTTGGTTCGAATTTTTTTCTTTTTTTTCTTTTTGCAATATTTGAGATCGTATATGGTTGCACTTTGATCACCGATATTTGAGAATACGCTTGTGCGATGATTTTTGTTATCCAGGAATTCCGATTTCGATTGTTGAAACCTGATCGTCAGTAAAGAATGACACATGTTTTTCTTTTACCTTCATTCTTCGTTTTTTTTAAATTCTTTGTTGGTCTAGTTAAATATCAGTATGATATACTCGATCTTATCGCACGAATTATCGAACCAATTAAGAGATAGTTAAGAGCGTTGATCATGTATTAAATAGTATATTCGAACATAAAATAAAAAGGAAGGTCGAGATAAAGATATTGCTGCATTATTTTTTGGCTTTAAAATAAATTTTTTCTTTGCTCATCGAAATTAAATGATAATGAAAAAAAAGAACATTTCTCTTCTTTAAGTTAATAATAACCTATGTTATATATAAAATAAACTCGCGTGCTTACATTTATTTACCGGTTTATTCAATCATAAAATGCATTTATCGGATTTCGCGTTTCGCACGCATCCAAAATTCCGTAATTTCGCGCGAAAGTCCAATGCCAGCGTGAAACAAAAATCCGACAGCGTGTCTATTTAGTGTTAAACGTACGACTTGAAAGCGCGCCAAAAAATCCGTGGAAAAAGCAGCGACCGGCAAATTTGCGAAGGTTGACCACCTCTGTCGAGCGTATCCACGTGCGATAGGAAGAAGCGAAGGAAGCTAGTCAGTGAGTGAGCGAGCGAGCAAGCGATCGATGGGTACAACATACAGGGTGTGTCTGAATGCTCTAGCGAGGTCTGGTAATTTTCATCCTCGCAGGATGCTGGACGTTTCCGAGGATCGATGAGGCAACGGAGAATTTAAGAGAGACTTAGCCTTCTTTCTACCCACGTAGAGATTAATTTTAATCTTAATTTAATTTACTTCTTATCTTTTTTTTAGTTCTAAGAAAGGATAAAAAGGATAAAGAAAAAGATTAAAGTTAGACAATATTGATAGAAATGGATAGTATTCTTAGAACTCTTCTATAATATATAGAGATAAAAAGTTAGTTGAACCTAGATTAAGGTCATGTTCGTATATTACTGCCAGTTGACTGCCAATACTGAAAACCTATAGTTCCTGTTACGTGTACTATACTGTACTAGCAACTGGCAGTAATGTACGAACACGGCCTAAAATGAACTACATTGATAGAAACAGGCATAGACCAATATTCATAGTCGACTCTTATATTTAAGGCTATCTTGCGTTTTAAGATGTCATAATCTAATTACAGACCTGTAACATCTTCAGACATTATTTTACTTAAGATGGTCTTAAAATAAGAACGAACTGGAGAACTTTAGGAGACTATAAATCCGGATCTATAATAGGTGTTTTAAGCCTGAAGCCGTAAGAAATTGACCAACTACAGTTGAATGCGAGGAGAATAATTGATTGTGATTCGTCCATCCCTTATGGCTTAAGGTTTAAAAATCTGTTGTAGATCGGAGTAAAGCTCGAGGTTTGGAAAGAAGATTATGGAAATCAACGACTTTACGCAGCTATCTTACATCACTAGGTATCTAAATAAAGTATAGTTTAAAATAAAAAAGACATTAAAGTAGAAAAGAAACGTGTTCATCACGTTCTTTAGTCATGCTTTCGTGTCAGATACACAAACAGAAAACGTGCTCCTTATTAAGTATACAAACAGATAATGACAACGTAATCGTATATATATTTTCTCGCATCTCCATGACGCTATACGCTTGTCTTAGCGCCGAGATCACCGAGATACATTATCGTGTTTCCAGATATTCTTTCAAAGATAAAATGATAATATTGGAGGATAACATATGAGAGAAAGATAGCAGTTCGGACTCTATATTTATTCATGTAAATGCGTGATAATTAAATATAATTATCGCGCACGATGCTAATGAATGAAAATTAGAATTGGAGTTCTTTCTAATATAAAGACTACGAAGCAGCATGTCCTTGAGACTATATACGCTGAATAATAGTTATCTGATAAATCATTATGATTAATTGTTTTATGGTTATTACGACAAATTGTTACTGCGCATGCAGAATAGGCCGTGGATTTTGAGATCGAAGCTCGCTAGACTTGCGTGCGGGTCTAATAAGGATCAGGAATCCACGATGGTGGTGTTCCAAAATTACCCTCAAGCTATTTGCGTCATTTCGCGCCCGGAGAGGAAGCTTACTCTTGCATTTGCGATTCCTTGAAATTGCGTTATATAGTTCCGAATTAGAAAGCGATAACTGGTTAATCGTCTCTGCGTTTATGCACTGTGATAGACAAAAAAACGGATATGAAATGTGAAAATATCTCGTTTTATTTTAAGCCACAAATTTATTAACGAATCATTATCGAGACATGTTTTGAAACATTATCGAAAATTTTCATGACCATGATTATTATATAATATATAAACTAAACGAATATGCGCGGATTAAAATAAAATTTCTGTTGCTTTAAGTATATATATTATAAAAATCAGCTTGCGGTTCTTTATTTAATTGTCTAGGAAAAAAAATTACTTTATATACATTTAAGAAGGAATAATTATTATACTTTGAAAACAATTTTGTTAAAGAAAAAATTAATTTTGAAAAATTAATTTTCTTTTTCTTTCTTTTTCTCTCTCACGTGCATTCCGTCACGGTAGTGAAAACATAGCAACTTAAAATGCATAAGAATGCATGTAACATGTCCATCGTATTTTAACCTGCTCATTCTCGTTTCGCGAGACTTGTTTCTTACCAAAGCGACGCAGAGACGGCAAGAATTAAAAAGAAGAAAAGGGTTGCACGTGTGGAGGAACGTTATATGTCAGGACTGGGTTTACTTATGGGGAGAGCATTGGACACTTGGCGACCAGCGTGTCTCTGTATACAAGGTGTCTACAAAAAATATACATTCATTTCATTATAAACAAATGCGAAATTATGCATTTTTTAAATGTATGATTTTTTCTTCAATACTTTATTACAATTTTCTATGGCGAATCCGCCGTGAAAACTTTTTCAGTGGCAAATTAAAGTTTTTATACGTAAATTAATTCGCAAATTTTTTAATTAATTTACAATTTAAATTTTAATTAATTTCAAGATTCTCCGTGTGAAATAATGAAAATTTTAAACGAAGACAAATTTTTATGTTAAATATATTATCCTTATAAGAATAATCCTTAATAATAAGAAAATTATTATATTCTTATATTTTAGTTAATTTATAAATTCTACGTTTGATTTTGAGTTACATTTATATTTAATACGTATTTCAATAATATATCGGAAAACAAATTAAATACATCATCTGATAACCATTGTAAATTAATTTATAATCTTTTAGATAATAAATCACGTATCAAAAGAATTTTCATATCTCATCATATAAGTATTGCCCGCCTTTGATAATAAATTTCTCAGAAATGAAAAACAATATTTCCAAAATATATTCCAGCAGACCTCTATTTATAGTGAATCCATGAATCATTCTTGATAATTTTAATCATATCTCAATTTAATTATTTCTTTTTCACGAAATCTGGAGTTCCTCGTCTTGAAGTATAATCAAACTTCCTAGAAAGTCCGATATGCCTCATTACGAGGGGTTTATCGCGAGCCGGTTGCGCGCGAGTTTGCATTTCCTTCGCTTCGACAGTCGACGTGGCGTAGTCACTGTAGTCCCCTCTTACCGGTAGAAATTGTAGTTACACCAAGATTACGAGATTCTTCGAGAATGCGTCTTCCTCGCCGGTCAGTACTGCCGTCAGGTCTCTCGCACGATTATCAATAATCAATTCGATCGGTTATCGTCCTATCAATCAGATCGTTGCACAAAGTCCTTTTTTCGCTTAATGTGCAGAGAAGTAGGATATTTATCGCGATCGCATTGTTATAATTCGATTCACAATAGAATTACTAATCCAACTCTCAATCGAACTTTAAGAGCAATCGTAAAATGGCACGTCCTCGACCCGATCCTGAGGATCACTGTCTGGCGGAGGGAGAAAGGCGTCTTTGAGTCCTGAATAACGACTTCTCTGCCTCCTCTCAGTCCGTTCGATTGTACGTATATTGGCTAACCCGTAAGAGAGAAGAAACAAAAAACAAAACCCGAAAATCGAACCACACATACGAAGTCACGAGTCGGACGGACACTGAGACTGACTGAGACGGCGGCGCTCGGATGTCGTTAAAAACCGAAAAAGCTCTCCCTTCTCTTCCTTTTCTTTCCTTCCCTTCTCACCCTTTCCCGTCCCTAGACGGTCCCTCGTCTCTCCTTCTCTCGCTCTCGCTCGACTAGGCGCCTCACCCCATCGCACTCGTCGACGTCGTCGACGAGTGTCTCCCCACCTCCGGCCCGCACTCCCTCTGTGCCAATGCGGCGCTTCGTACCCTCCCCCTCCACCCCTCCTGACCCTCCGCGTCCCGCTCCGGAGTGCTCCGGAGCGCCTCCGTCTCTTGGCTCGGCACGCCGGGACGAGTTCCGATGCCGAGTCACTCCGGTGCACGCTTCCACCATTCATTCAAAAAGAGAACCAAAAAAAGACGTCTATTTTTTCTCCTCTTCTTCTTCTTTTTTTTTCCGACGTTCCCCAAGGTGCTTAACTCCTCGCAACGAATATTCCGCGCAATTTCAAGCGCCACTTTAATCGTAGCCGCTAATCGTTACGCGAAGCACGCGATAAGTACGGTGCGTGCGATTAATTAATTCATTCGTTCGTTCTTAACTTTGCGTCACGTTCCGCTCCGAGTTGCGAGGCGAGTCCTTTTGGAGCGTACGTGTCGCGACACACGTTGTCTTGAAATGACCTCATTCTGAAAGTGCTTCTCGTATTTTTAATATCTTAATTTAAATGCACAATGTTTACGGCCTTATTTCACTTTGAAATTTGGAAAAAACTTTGTTTTAAGTGATAGTTTATATATGTGAAAATATTGTTCTATACTACTTGGAATGTAAAATTCAAAGTATTTACAAAATTACAAGCTGATTCTTTGAAGAGCATCCCTACACGAAAAACTTTAAACGCATTTTTCTCAAAATGACATTTTTCAAATCGACGTTATATATCATAATTTCTACAATGTTTCTTCGTTTTACTTGAAACTTGCAGATAATCGTAATTTGTTAATTATCTAAAGAAGTAATCATTTTTTGACTAGTTAGGAAGCTATTATCGTTATTAACATTTTTGTAGAAAATTTTTTGATAAAATATGGTACTTTTTTCAAATGTTCATCATTTTTACAAAAAAGCATCCTATGTACTTCCTCAGTAAATATCATGTAGAAAATAAAAATTCTTGATTTTTTATTCTAGACCAACCGTTTCGTGATAATCTTATCGCCGATTGGCGTTTGCTAAATAGCAGTCTATTTGAACCACAATGCCAGAATTTTCTTGGAAAAAATTTTTTTTTGTATAGGGTAAGTCGGGGGAAGATTCCATGTCGGGTAAGATGCCATTTGTTAATACTTTCCATATTTATATTTAGATTAGTGACGCGCTCGGTTTGTTCATTTGTAAGCCAGCGACGATATAACACTCGCTGTTCGTGTTTATTTTCAAAGATTGTTAATTTTAAGAAAAAAATAATTCTTTATTTTTGGAATAACTAGTCTCTATTGTTGAGAAGAATAGCTGTTGATACAAATTTTTATTCTTACAGATCATATATTGTGTTTTATTTAGTTGCGATGTTAGGTCATCTTACCCCAGGTCTTGTGGCATCTTACCCAACTTAAGTTGGGTATGATGTCACTTTATAAGGTTTTTATTTTTTTATTGCGACGTAAAAGTTTTATGAGATACATGTATGTAACTAAATCATAATAAATAAAACTAATCAAACTTTTCATTAGTTCTATATTCTTTTATGTATCAATAACGGTTAAAAATATATCGCGATCCAAAGTTAATTATGGCATCTTCACCCAACTTACCCTGGGCTTCAATATATGTATAATATATTGAACAACACCTTTTTATAGATTTTTCATTTACTTTATCCTTTTTGAAAAAAATTCCCAAAAATAATTTTGGTAGACTATCAAAATAATGAAATAGGACGCTCAAGTATTAATGAGCAAAAAGTTTTGATATTCTAGCAGCCAGCTTGAGCAGCCTATATATAATTACTTTAATGATTTAAATTATGTCCTAACTAAATTTTTAGATATTTTAGCAAAACCGTTCTTTCATTTGTAACTTAATAGAATATTTTTGTTACAATGCACGGTATGTTCTCTATTAGCTATAATTAATAATACGCGGTAATTAGAAATTAAATTGAATTAAATTAAAAAAATTAGTGCACTTTGTTATGAACGAAAATGATGATTGAATATGTTCATTATTAGACAACTTAATTAGCGGATAAATAAGTTAGATTGTTAAATAATCCGAGCAGAAATAATCGAGAGTATGCGTGCAATTATTTCGTATTTCTCTCTTTTATTTCAGAAAATTCCGAGTATACTGCGAATATCATAAATACACTGTAATTTTTATTACAGTGATGTACCTATACGTGATAAAATAAATAACGACGTTTAATAATCGATAGCCTACATCTGGCACGTGTCACATTTTGTAAAAATAAAGATAAATAAGGATAATTCAAAGTCTTTATATCTTGTCGATTTTGGTAAATACATACATTTATTTATTTAAAAATTATTTCAAAATTTTTGCCGGTATTCTGATTTAGCGCTGTAGGGTCTATAATGAATGAGTTTGACATTTACATTGTTAAAACACTGGAAAATGTATCGTGAAACTCCATCAGGACTAACAATAGACGAAATTCCTACCAGACCACTTAGAGTTGAGAGACAATTTGTGACGTCTAGTGCGCTTTGTTTTAAGATGTTATTCCAGTGCTTCAATCATTGTAATATGTACGTACACGAAGTGTTGTATGAAATAACACGTATCATAATCACGTTTACCGTAGAAGTAAACATTTTCTCATTTTTTTCTGAAACCTTTCGCAGAAAAAATTCCGGAAAAAAAGTAATGCGATTTCTAATTCCAATGATATATCTCTTTACAAACGAAAATTCCTCGCGGGATTTGAAAAACGTTAAGCTCGTATACTTACTATTTGCAGCAACAATATCTTTGCTCGGATATAAGAATGCTACTTGCAATATAAGGTTTGTCGAGTTTTCCATTAATAAAATTTAGTATACAAGGCCGTCTCACTTTATTTTATACTTGATGCGTTGTGTTCCATATTCAGTGAGTGCAAAAAGTATTCGTACAGAGAAAATATTTTTTAAAAAAACTTTATTTTTAAAAAGTAAATATTATCCAGCGGGAAATAATCCATCGAATTGATGTCGAATCGATATAAATACGATGATTTCAACATTAATTTGACGTCGATTCGACGTTTAATCGATCATCTCTTATTGGATAATTAACAATTTATTCATAAAGAATAAAATAGACTATGTTTCTTAAAATAATATATACCAAAAAGATGTGTATTAATTATACAAAATATGTCATCTAAAAAATAAACGAAAATTAAAAATTGTATTGTTTGAATGCTCAAAAAGTATTCGTACAGACGAGAAATTTAGCTTCTAAAATCAAGAATACATGTGAAGCTCGTTTGTTTATGTTAGAACAGAATGTATTCATTGTATAAAATTGCTAATTAATGTTTATTTTCTATAAATAAGATTTTTTATAAGATATTTCCTTGTACGAATACTTTTTGCTCTCACTGTATATGTAGAAGAGGCACATTGTAAGTCCAAGACGCGCATGTGATTTTTTTTCTTCGACTCTCCTACTATCTCTGTCTTCTTCCATCTGGGCGGCCCTGTGCATTCACTAATTCGCACATCTGTGCGAAATAACGTCACTCATTGCTCTCGTAATCTTTTTCATTATTCTTTTTGTTATCTCTACGATTCTTAATTCTGTTAACAGTCAGTGAAATCTCCTTAAATTTCCTCGTTTGACGAGTGTATTACCTCGTATGTTAATTCAGGCTTGTTATATTCAACGCATTTCTTAAATGCGATAAAATGAACCTCTAATCGATTTAAAAGAGATTTGTGCATGTAAAAACGATTTATTGGTAGAGTGTTTGGTGAATATGCTTTCGAAAAGATATGTCATTAAGATTAACAAGTAGAAAATTCTATTCCAGGATAAAATGTTGCTTGTTACGGCTCACATAAATTAATTGAAAAATAATTGCTTTACACTGGCAACAATTAAAGCAAGACAATGAAATAATGTGCTTCGCACAATGAAACTTGGAGACAAAGTACATTAGACAATACAAATGCCTCAACTATGAGTTGGTCCGGTAGAAATGTTATGACGTAACGATATTCTTTGTATTATACTAAATCATGTTATGAGAAAATAGATTTTACGCAGCGGTTAATAAAGGAAATTAGTGGTGTGTATTTCAAGAGATAAAATCCCATTCGTTGGCTAAACACGTTACATGAACTTTATATTGACAAAATTTCGTCTCCAAAGATGTGAGAATGAGTCTCTCTATACATATAATATTAATGTTTTAAAAATTATGGCGTCGAATTAAATTTCGCTTGACAATAATTTATTTGAATTGCAAGTAATTTATAGTATACTACTCTATTTATGAATTTATTTATTAGTAATCATTCAGCACATAAGTATGCTTAAAGTCCTAGAATCGGATATTATCGTTCGAGCGCGTAAATCGGCTTATCATTAAACACGTAATTCATTACAATCCTAGAATCAAATGATTATCTGCCATTAAACACATAATATTACGTGAACATCACGTTTAACATTTACAGTATTTAGATTCGACGCAAAATACACGAAGATTTTAACGAAACATTTAATCGTGTATCTGTCAACTTGTTGAAAGATAATAAATAATTAATAAACGTCGTTCAATCAATTTATGTTGATTACATCATTCGATTGTGCGCCATTTGCATTTTTATCAATGTTCGTAAGAATGTAACAAAACTTGTTTAAGCTAACATATTATCTGTTAATCATCTATGAAAGGATTATGTCTTTGGCACGCGCATTCATTAATATACATATAGCTTGCGAATCAATACGAACGCATGCGCTTATATAAGAAATAAATATGATGTTTCTTAAATACATTCGCGTAAGTGTAATAATGATTCTGCTTAAAATTAGGCCGAGTCTACAATAGGGTC